CGCGGCGCACGATCTCTCGACGTAGTACATGTATACGTCGCGGGACATTTCGCTGTCCCCGCAGAATTAGGCGAATTTAGATGGCCAAATTATGCAAAAATTATGCAAGTTACCGTAACACCTTTCGTGACATGTTTTGCACCTTTTCAACCCAAATTTTCATGACTTTTATGTTTTAAGTACAGAAAATTTTTTAACAGAACATATCAGTATCAGTAATTTGTAGTGTATTTGGAAAGAAAACAATACACATCTGTAAAAAAAAAAAAAAAAAAATCTCTGTAACTTTCAGCTGCAGATCTAGATCTAGATCTAGATTCTAGATCTGGGAAAGAAAAATGTAAAAAAAAAAAGAAGGACATCTGGTCCTCTGATGCTGGTGGCACATTACTACAACCAGGGACACCTGTCAAACATGAAGCATCAGCAGACATGAGAACAACAACTTTTGTTGGATTGAAAAATTGAACATGCTCAAGGAACAAAATCCCAACCCATAACCAAGATCTTCTACCAAGGGAAATAACCAAGTTTTCACTTAAATAAGACTTATTACGGTGATTATTTCCCTTTAGTCACATGGCGAGGCGTTCATTAATCAAATTATTTTTGTTTAAAAAAAGGAAGAAAACGGGAAAAAACGCGGGGAATCCAAAATTATGCAAATGTGTAGAATTACGACAAAAAACCGCGGGGAATCCAAAATTATGCAAATGTGTAGAATTACGACAAAAAACGCGGGGAATCCAAAATTATGCAAATGTGTAGAATTACGACAAAAAACCGCGGGGAATCCAAAATTATGCAAATGTGTAGAATTACGCCAAAAAAACGCGGGGAATCCAAAATTAGGCAAATGTGTAGAATTACGACAAAAAACCGCGGCTGCGCCGCCGCATAATCCTGCAGGGACAGATTAGGACGATCTGGACTTTGAGGACGACTTGACGCTTCAGTCGCACATCCAGGAACAGACTGGTTGACGGACAAGGGATCAAACACCCAACTGGCTAGACGCTACACACAATTACACAGTTGTCTTCCTTTGTTACGCACGCACGCGCGTGCATGTACGTTCGAGTGTGCGTGCGTGCATGCTTGCGGGCGTGCGAGGGCAAGCATGTGTACGCTTAAATGTGTGTGTTTGTGTTTGTTGGGTTTGTGTGTGTGTGTGTGTGTGTGTGTGTGTGTGTGT